CGATTATCGATAATTAGGTGATTTTCGGATAAGGTTGGTTATACGGAACAGAAATGGAGAAAATGGAATAAAATAGTGGTCGCCGCGGGCTGAAGCTATCGTGCCGCGAATCGATACCTTATCTAGGCAAAATATTTATTCCCAATGAATTTTTGAGAAATGTACGTGCCGAAGTATGAAAAGAATATCCTATTTATCGAAGGGAAGAATGTATTAAATTTAGAACAGAGAATGTCGAATATTGAATTCATGGAAACTGTTCTTTGAGAAAATAACGAACTCGTTTAGTAGAGATCGTAGAACGTATTTCTTGTTCCGATTGAAATATAAATTATAGAGTCGTATATACACACGCGTGTACAGAAATTGCTTTTATAAAAGGTATAAATATCGATACACGTTGAATCGCATTGAATAGGTTCGATTGTTCCGAAATTATACCTATTTATGGCTGTTCAATCGTGCAGCCTCATTTAAAGATGCACTAATTTCGCTATAATTGCAGCACACATTGAGAAACGGTAAATCGCAGAACAAATAGAACACCCGAACTGAAGTGCACGGCACGAGGAACTGGATTAATTAGTAAATATAAATTGCGGACCGGCTAATATGGAATTATTTACACGATACACACGAGAAATCGGAACGTTACACAAATCGTATACGTAACGTTAGTTGTACAACGTGTCTCGTGCGTTAAAAATTAAAGTAACTCCGCCATCTCGTGGTAAAAATTTTTGGAACGCGCTAACTATCGCGAACGTTGAGCGTAGTATTTTAGCGAGAACAAAATAACCCACGAAAGTTTCAGGTACGTGTTCGCGTTTCAGAGATAAATGGTCTTTCTACTCCAAATAGTTTACTTCGCGTAAGTGATGAAACCACTGTTATTTATCTTAGAATCTCGACTTGGATGTGTGCATAAAAATGCATCCATTTTATCTTCGTGTTTTCACTCTCTCAAAATGATAGATTCGTCGAAAGTTATAAAGAAAAATAGAAGTAGCTACGTTGTCTGACCATACGCGGACCAGTTCCACTTGCAGCGCGTCAGATTTCGACAAATCTCCGCGTAACTTTCGGCGCGAGTATTATTAAACGTATCTCGGACAAAAGAAATAAAATGTAGAAGAAAAAAATATTTTCACAAAATATTACCACTAGCGATTTGTACAAGTAACGAGTACACGCGAGAAAAACTAAGGAAAAAGAAATTTCAAGGGCCTTCGACTTAATTTACCGTAAGTTTTTGTAACTTAATTTACGAAACACACTTCGTGCAACATACTTTGCACGCGTTACAGGTTGCACAACAGAAAAGTTAGGAGTGCGCCTCTTACGGTCTCGTTTTAGTCGTATCACTTTACGCGGTTAAACCGTCCCGGTGTATTATTCACACATCCCAGGTGTTTGGAGGGTCTACGAACAGCTCGGATCGTATAAACGTTTCGTCAACTTGACCCACCTGTGCTGCGGAGCTTATAACTGATAAACGGACCGTTCGTGCATATATATTCGCGACGTTCTAAAATTTGACGTGCAATCGCACAGGCTGTCGACTCTCGACATCGACAAATGGGATAAATCGTGAGTCACCACACTTCCTGATTATCGATGTTAACATTACCCCGATATTATTTTATCTTATCTTATCTTATTATTATAAGCAAGTCAAATGTATATAAAACATAAAATATTGTTTATGTTATGGAACAAAGTTTACTCATAAACCGTGTGTATTTCCTAGAAACGTTTACTCGATAAAGGGTTAATCTATATTTATATGTATAGTTTTTTATCTATACTTATATAAAGAGACAAGGTTTGTTTGGACGTACACGAAAATTTCAAAAACTACTTAACAGATTGATACCAAATTTGAACAGTAGCTTCTTTGCTTTCTCTGGAGTAATATAGATTGTGTTATTTTAAGAAAAATGATATTACATCCGCGTACAAATACGTAAGAATATGTTGAGCGGTCTGAGCCTATACTCGCTACTTCCTACCGCTCCCACCGCGTGTGTTTTTAAAAAGTTGTTTTGTCATCTGACGTTGGAAAGAACGCGATGTCAAGAGTTACGTTATATTTCATCTTTGTATCTCAAGAAATGGTTCGTGGAGTAGTTTGAAACAACTTTGTCCTTAGCGAAAATGTTGTCGGAGATTTCGTTAAGGAAATATTAACAGAAAAAATTCCGATTCCAATCAGAACGCGAGTAGTGTAGGCTACGCGCTAGTCGGCCGCAGTAGTATAGGGTACGCGCTGGACAGCCACAGTAGTGTAGGCTACGCGCTAGTCGGCCGCAGTGGTATAGGGTACGCGGTAGACGGCCGCAGTAGTATAGGCCACTCTCCACCGGCATACTCGCGCTCTGATGTGTCGGGTTTTTCCGTTAATATCTTCTTAACGAAGCCTCGGACAACATTTTCAAAAGTAAATTTTCGAAAGTAATTTTCGAAAGTAACTAGAATAACTAAAGTAACTAAAAAAGAAAAAAGAAAAAGAATTCATCCTGTACCTAATGTTTCTGACGAAACAATTTCAATCAATCATCCGAACCGTGTTTTCAACCGCTTTAACCGTGGATCCGGTCGTCCTCGATTCACCTGAATTTTCCTCTCGGAGAATTAGTCGCTCTAGTAACCGGGAGGTTCGATTAATAATTTTCGCATATATCGACACGGCCGCTTCCGCTCGAGCTTAATCCGTTTTATATAGAGTCGCAAAAAATTGGCTCAGCAAGATCTCAGAAGCGGATTAATGTAGAATGCCCCTTTCTGGATTAAACCCGGAATACTCTACCCTTTCTCGGTCATTATATTTCTTTTTTTTTTTTTTCTTTATTCCCGAGGACTAGTACTCGCCGCCATCTGCGCAGCAGTCGTCCAATTAATTCTCCGCGACAATTACCAGCGGTGTGGATTACAGTGAACTCGCTCAGCAAAAGTTTCCTTCCTTGTATGCGTCCGTGAATTGGCACGAGACTCGGTACAACGAAGAGGTGATTTGTTGCATAATTATACAATCGTTCCTTACAATGGACTGTTCGCTTTTGGATTCCGAGACGAGGCGGAACAATAATAAGCGTTAGAAATTACTTTCTTTTTGAGATTGCGAATCTTTATGCAAAATAAAATCTTCGCGTGCCTACAAAAATTGAACCTAAACAGGAATTTATTTTATTCTGCAAATATTACAACATGAACTTTACTTTCAATCTTTTTTGTATTCTTCGATATTGTTTGCATTTTGTAATTTCTTGCACGTTCAAATTTTGTATAAATGCATAAAGATCTGCAGTTTAATTATCACACATACATACACGGTGTTTGTATAGTGATTTATTTATTCTTCAAGTATACACTCAGTGTATCCGCGGACCAGTACGAATTTTAGTAACGCTTATAATTATGATAATCTAAGGATGCAAGTCGTTTTCTGTCTCTGCCAGGCCTTAAAGTGGCAATCGTTGCATTCCAACAATACGATAGATCAGTTATTCAATTGAAACAATTCCCGTTACCTGGAAATCGAACGCTAGGGAATCCTCACAGTCTGTCAGGCTCTCGTAGATGTTTCTTCGAATCGACCCAGCTCGTGGCGTGTCTTCGAAAGGCATCGTACTCGCAAGAATTAATTTATCGCTGGTCCGAGCACGCACGCGACCAGAAGCGGCTCCGGCACCGTCTGCGAACCTCGTTATTTACCCTCCTCGAACCCCATGAATTTATCGATCGCCACCGTCAGCCCGAAACGTGCCAAGAATTTTCGTTGGCCTCCGTTCCTTCGCCTTGGTCCTCGCGACCGGTCGTCTCGCGTTACTTACTTTTCCTTTGTTTCGTCGGTGTTTGCTCTCGAGACGTTGGGCTTTAGCGGAGGGGCAGCGAGAGGATTCGGGGTCTAGATGCCACTTGATCTCGTTTCGTTGCTGACTTAAGGCATCAGACCGGGAAAGTTTGATCGCAAATATGGCCGAGTGCCTTCCCGACGACTCGGCGAATGGCGGTTCGCGTGGAATTATAATTGCAAATTGCGGGAGATCGCTTCGTCGAGCGGAACATTTGAATCCGTATCGAAGCTTCGAGCTTTTCTTCTGATTTTTGGGAAAATTCCAACCCGTTCCGGACGGTCTTTCTCTTTGATTTTCGAGAAAATTAATGGAGCGTTTGTAAGATTTCGTTTTACTTCGCGTGAATTTTTATTATTCGTCCAACTGATCGAGATATACCTTCAATGGCGTTAACACTATGCCGTCCGCTTATTATTTTTATATACATTCTGTACATATGTAAATAAGTACAAAATTTTTTTGTATTATATATTTATTTATATTTTCTTGAATACTCAGTATTTAGCGCATGGGACCACAGTGGTGCCACCGGACGGCATAATGTTAAACGGAAAGAAATTGGACGAGATATTTCATCAGCTTATAAATATTTATCTTGCTCAAAGTTGTGTAAGCCGTGGATCGGATTTACGCGGTTCGACAGAATATCGCGTGTACAGGGATAATTCCCTCGCTCTGCCTGAAATATCTTGGCGTCGAATTTACCTGAAACCACTTTATGTATACAACTATTTTCGGCTCGCGCGGAATGCATCGGAAAAACGTGCAAAACACCTGCAAAACATAATGAAAATACTAACTCGAGTCGCAATATTATCCTTAGTCTCCTAATGGGGGTAGCCTAGTTCAGAGTGTTAATTTTTCATTCTTTCTGAGGACTTCATTTTTATAAAGGAACCTCCTTCTTTTTGACTCTCTGCCCTTTTCTACGCTCGACACTCGACTAGAGCTAAATGTAAACAGACACAGAATAGAAACCTCGTCTTGATAACTGCAATGTTTTGGGTCCCGATTTTCTTGCACTTATCCAGTCTTTTCTATATTTCACTTAACTTGATCACCTTAAATATATCGCTTATCATTTATAATACTAAAAGTCGAGAAACACCTTCATTAATATCGGTAAATCACGTACAAGAACAGCAATGTAACGTTTCCCTTGAAATATTACACGTTTTTTTCTGTTTGTTTGAAGCTTGATATTTCTGACCATCCGGTCGACGTAATTCAATATTAAACAAATAGTATCGTTGAAAATTCATGAAATGCGAAAATAAACGGAAAAATCCTGATGGAAAGTGCGGGTGGCGGAACGGTGAAAACAATATGCAAAGCGTTGAAAGCTTTTTAAAGCAGCTACTGACATTTACAACGGCGTTCTAGAACACGGCCAGCGACGACCGCCCGACGGAGGTTTATCAAACGTCTACAAATTCGCCGGAAATTGATAAATTCTTGGCAGTAATTACGGACCTTAATCGTCGCGTGGCAAATCGAGCTATGGTGTCCAATTAACGTTTAATTCCTCGCCAGATGATACGAGTCAACACGGATGGCGAATTTCTATTAAAGCTCGGAAGGCTGAGCTTTAGATCTGTTTAATGGTGCGTTGCTATGGTAATGGTGGCGCAGTCTGTTGACAGAAGCTAACAGACCAGTCTTTTCATCATTTTAATGAGATGCAAAAAAAAATATTGTCTAAGGTAAGACAGGGTAGCTAAGCTAGAGCTTGGAGAGAGGCTATTATTAAGCGTGCCGTTCATCTATAAAATAGCGGATGTTTAAATAAAAATAGATAATAGTGCCGACGCGTTAAATACAGAAGAGTCAGCTCGTCTAAAACTAACGATAAATCGATCGCACGGTAAAATTTTTGAAAGATTTCACAAGCAGAAAATTAACCCCTACAGGGCACAATTTTTTAAATCGGAGCAAACATGAATAACACTACCGCAAAAATTCTCGTGGCAACAGTCAGATTTGGCACAAAAATAATTATCTTCAATGGTGCCGCGTCCTTTTTATAACGTAGATGTCTTAATTTTGTTAGGAAATGGCGCCCATTTGGGGGTTATAATTTTTAAGAAATGGAAGTATTTAGATAGTAAAAATTGTTAAAGTAAATAGCATAGAAGAGACAATGAGAAAATATCACTATATTTTTATATCGGCGCCCCAGGCGAACCGCCCCCACCCCTAATGCCGGCTCTGCATATATCAAAGAAAACTGCAGTTGATACGTGTGTGCTTCAATGCATCACTGTAGGGTTAACACTCGTACGAATCTTCGTTGAAGTTCAACTAATTTTACAGAAACATGGCGCGCAGCTTTGGTTGCGTTTTCTCGGCAAACTCAACAAACATTCTTAATTAGATAGCCTCGGAAGCGTTAAAGACGAAGTTCTCGAGGAATGTGTTCCACAGTTTCTGAGGATCCTAATTCCGAAGTAGACACAATGGTCGCGTTTATGGCATTAATTTTATGAGCGAAGTTTCGCAATTTAACGCAAGAGATAGGGGAGAACGTGACCGAGCCCCGCGTAGCCACCGCTTAGGCTCGTAAAATTTAATGTCGCAATGCACCCTGATTTACATTAATAATCGTTAACGTTTATCTCGCAGAGAAGGTTGAATGTCTCATTTACATCTGCACTTGTCAACCTCGAGAGAGATTCTCTCGGTTGTTTCATAAGATTACCCGTGAATGGTAAAGTAAAGTCTCTATAAATGCGCAAGCTCAGGATTGACCTTGTGCGTTTATCGTAGAGTTCGTACATTCTCCGAAGAGGATGGAACGAAAACACCAGGGTATGTCGGTGAGACAATTTAATGCAACGTACATTGCGTTGCGACGAGTAATCTTCGACATATCCCCAGTGGTGGAGATGGTTTCTGTGCATTTATCGCAGACAAATTTGTGCATTTATGGTCGACTTAACTTTACCCATTTTCAACTGTAATTCACGCTCCATAGGTATTCCGCAGTTAATCATTCGCAATTCTAGCACCCTGTCACGGGACTTCGTTATTTGGAAACTACTCCGTCGTTTCGAGGTTAAACGGTATCCGAAAATTCGCTGTCGAAATGAATGGGCGTGCGAGCACATTCACGTGAAACTGGGTCACGCATGCGAGTAGTAAACATAAAAGGGGGAGAAAAAATAGAAAAAGAAAAAAAAAGCGTACTCTTGACGCGTAAAGAAATGCTGACTCCCCATCTGTCGATCACTTCTGTTTCGCTGAGCACGTCTCGGAGCGTGGACGCTACAAACCCCTTAAAGAGAGATGCGCTCGAAACTCAGTTAAAGGGCATATGCCTATCTGGCTGTGTTCCGTCGATACGCGTGCGAAAGTCTGCGGTCTATGTTGGTTTTACGTTCGTTTTAGGGTGTGCTAAACATGGGGGAGATTTTGTACGTGATCGAGACGCGTCTGTAGCCAAGACTAGGTCAGTTATTCTTATACTATCACGGTCGCCCGTTGGTGTCCCCTATCAGTCATAAAATTCACCCTCGCTGCGCGTCTACTATCAAGCCCCGTGTATCGTGGGTCAGGGATATTATCAATCATGCTCAGCTGTAGGCTAGATACGAGCGTTGGAGTAGGTCTGGATTACCTCTGTGCCGGATTTAAATTATATTAGTGTCGAGGGTGAGCTTGGTTAGACCACGGTATTCAGCTGAAATGGGGGTGGAAATTACACTTGCAGCGGTTAGTAGCGGGGGTTTGGGGCGTTGGGTTTCGAATAGACAAACACAGCACGTGCTTGCGGGGGTGAGAAGGTCATATTGTGTCTTTCGTTACAGTCATTTACAGTCATTCCAGTAAATATTCGTACCCTCTGTGTTTATTGAAGGAATTCGTCTTAATTAAGCGATGGGTTTGATTCTTACAAATAAATTTTGTATTGTTTCATATATTTATTATTCTTTTATTAATAAATTTTAGGGGAAGAAATAATTAACCAACGTTAGAATAAATATTCGCGCTACATCCGTGGGACTTAAAATAACTATTAATTGAATGTTTACGTAATTTGTTAAACGTTTCGCGTGCTATTGCTCGTGTCAGTTTTGTTAATAAACGAGCCTCAAACGGTGAATACAAGATGAACGAGATCACCAGAATCTGTTGAAATATGGATACGCGCGCAGACATTGAAATTCACGTCGTGCACGGGATTTCATGCAAATTTCAGTTGAAATCGGGAAACAATATTTAGCTTAACGAACGCGGTTAACGCGCTGACGGAGTTTGGGATTTCTTCTGTGTACGTGTAATTATCATGGCCGTTTGTTGAAGCACGCCGTTCTGTGCGATTTTTATTTCTCGATGACGGCAGATTCGAATATATTTTTATTGTTGTCATCACGACCAGCGAAGTAAATATAAACTGGGTTCTTAATGAAATCGTTCCCCGACTCGGCCGATCGCCTTCGTTGTGTTATTTTCGTCAAAAGGTTGGACGAAACGATGGTGCATCTGTTCGCCATATATCAACCTCGGAACAAAATACGTCTGCGTATCTTCGTGGCATTTTTTGGCGCGAGGCCAGCGAATGTACGCGTTGCATCTGATATCGAGACCCACAGGTATTCTCGTTAACCCATTGAAAGTATAAAGGCGAACTCCGACAAGGATCGAACATTAATAGAACGTCTTTGAACGCCATATCTAACCTATTCTATTTCTATAATATTATCAATGATTAATTGATACACGAAAGCTATGGATCATTTATGCGATTCCATTTCCCGTTACAATTAGGAGAACTTGTTACGATTTCGTTATTCACCGTTGCTTGTTACCTTATAATAATTCGGTTTAATATCGTTAATTTGCGTAAGTTCTGCAATAATTACAATTATTCGAATTTCACTCCCGTTCTCGTTCCAGAGGGGAACAGAGAGGTAAGTGAAAATGAAGCGTATCGAGTGAACTCGAGAGCCAAATCCGACAATACGCGTGTTCCCATTCGAAATAAACAAGCAAATATTTGTTTGGTCGGTTTACGATACAATGCCGATCGAAACAACGATACGTAGCCCTGCCGATTTGCGCGGTTTACGATTCGCTATTTGACAAGGAAAAGAAAAACGGTGGAAATTTATTTCGCGTCACTCGAGATTTCTCCACGATGCGGTGCCTTAGTCTTCGTAATCCGCAATGTTCGTTCGAAAAATGTTGACATTAGAGACATTTGAAAAAATAATTCAGACAGTAAAAATAAATAGAGAGAATAATATGATAAAAGATGTAACGCTCAGCCCTGTGGCGAAACGATTGCACCAAAATTTTTCCCCCCTAAATTGCTCGACCAATCGATGAGGTGCATTCCGGGGTAAGCCTTCGCTCGAGCCAAGGCAGCAGAAACTAAGTCCCGTCGATAGAAAGCCCAATTATCCGTTGAATTCGCAAGTAGCCATCAGGTCTCCTCTAAGCCTCTGTTGAGCTCGATGCCAAAGTCCTCCTGGACCTCGGCGAGGCTTTTCCCGGTGGTATCCTTGGCCACGATGGCGCAGAACAGAGAGACGAGCCAGCATATGGCTGCGGAGAGCCACATGAGCTTCGCGGTGCCTAGGGTAACGAACATTTCGTCGAACGTCAGGGTAGCCAACAGCGACACCAGCCAACCTAGGACCAATGCTACAGCTGCTCCCGATATCCTCACTTCCGCTGGGAGTACGTCTCCCAGCACGGACCAGGAAATGGGACCCAAGCCCAGATTGAACGATGCGAAGAAGAGGATGATCCACGTAGGCGCCATCCAAAAGTAGATATCGTCATACTCGGGGTCCATGTCGCGTAAACTGAAGAACCAGCCTGGAACAGAACGTGCCGTTGGCAAATTTATTCTTCTATCCAACGATTAATATAAGATTAAGATAAGGTTTTATATAAGACTGTGTGGTGAAAATATGAGGTCTCGTTTAAAAACAAATACGACGACCTTGAAATCTTGAGAAGAATGATCTTGAGAACAAAATTCGGCCCATCACCGTATTGGCGCCTTCGAACAGAATATTTTTTTCCTCTGACATTTTTTTCTATCACACATAGTAAGCGACATATTTAAGGTGGTCAAGTTAGGGTGAAATATAGTAAAGACTCCATAAATGCACAAGCTCGGGATTGAAATTGTGCGTTTATCGTAGAGTTCGTATATTCTCTGAAGAGGATGGAAAACTTTTATCATCATATTCCTGACATTTTTCTGATTAAAATGAGACCAAACACGATGTAATTCGGATAATATTTACTATGCATATACAGGGTGTCCCAAAAATGTTGGAGGTCCTTGAAAGGGGCGGTTCGAAGGGTGATTTGAAACAACTTTTTCCTTAGCAAAAATGTCGTCCAAGGCTTCGTTAAGGAGATATTAACAGAAAATCCCGACCAATCAGAGCGCGGCTGTCTAGTGCGTAGCCTACGCCACTGCGGGCGCCCCACCGGCGTACTCGCGCTCTGATTGGTCGGGGTTTTCTGTTAATATCTCCTTAACGAAGTCTAGGACAATATTTTCGTTAAGGAAAAAGTCGTTTCAAATCACCCTTCGAACCACCCCTTTCAAGGACCTCTTGAGACCACCCTTTTGGGACACCCTGTATAGCCACGTGCGAAGTATATTCATGTACATATTTATAACGGAAAATTGATTTGGAAACATGAAGACCATCATATATTCCAAACAATGAATATTAATTAAATCAAATAATTTTTAATATTCGTAACAGACAATAATCGATGCACTACGTGCAATTAGGTACCATTAACGTAAATGATCAACCGTCACGATCAGTTTCATGAAAATAATTGTTGCTATTAACTTATTACCGACGAGTTATTGATAATGAATTAATTGAAAGCAAACAGGTATTATAGAAGGCCACGGTAAAAGGCAAATTAATTGCTTTTCTAGAAATTACATTTCGAACGATGTCAAACTGAACGATGATTGCAATAACATGCAAATTACCAATTGAAAATATTTATACTGCTCCGTGTCGCTCGAAATGAATAATCTTACTTTTCAAATATTCCTGGATGGTGCGTACATTTTATTTAATATCCGATAAGCTTTTGAAACATTCCATGAAAAAAAAAAAAAAAAAATTAAAACTCATGAGCTGCACGGGAGCCGATTAAACCTGTCGCGACTCTTCAGTGGAGATATTTGAATTCTTTTAAATATTGTTCTCGACGTTACACCACTTGAATAATAAAAAGTAAAAATCAAGCACGGGCAAAGCTTTTCGCGAACGATATACTTACGACGAACAAACGAATGTACATCATCGATAATCATTCCGCGAGATGTACGCATCGTCGAGTGCAACGAAATAGATAAGCTTCGATAATTGCTCAGCATCGTATCGCATTTCGAGCGATTCCGATACACCCGAATCGTTCAGTCGACGAAAAGCTGTTTACCTAACAGTATCAGAAATAATCCCATAAGCAACGTGGACACAGAGAGTAGAATTCGACGTCCCAGAACGTCGACAAGGAACGCCGCTAAGAAGGACGTCAATATTTGAACGGCGCCGACGATTAACGTCTGTTCGCTTCCGGTCAGCTCGCCGGAACCCATGGTGTTGAATAGCGTCAGAGCGTAGAAGATCATCATATTGGCGCCGCTAAATTGCTGGCCCAGTACCACCCCGAAGCACGTCGCCAGAGAACGAAGGATTCGACGATTCTTCAGCATCTTCAAGCTGAGCTGCAATTAAAAAATTATTATATCTTTCGCTCGAGACAATTTTAAAAATATCACATTCCCATCATTTAATAATTTCTCTTCTTCCATAAATTAATTCTCAATTTTAATGAAAATATCTGTTAAGTAATTCTGCCTCGGTTACAACGCAGCATTTCGATATTCAAAAATTAATAATTTACTCGCATCGAATAACGTTTGTCCGGGAACTTTTCAATTCCCTCCCTCCCTAACCCCTCCGTCGTTTAATTTGCAACAAAACTCGGCTTTGTTTCGTTAATGGACAATGAAATGTTGTACGACTGGAAATAATTTAACGTGCTTTGGTTGCATTATGCAACTTTAATCGATTCGGTCTTTTTTTCTTCTCGATTTTTATTCCCGCGTTATTGGATTTTTAACTCTATCGGAACTTTATTCAAACAGTTCGGGAGTGCAACTCCGGTCGAATTGGTTTTAAATGGTTCGGCTTTTTGTTGTTCGATTTTCGATTCTCCGCGGAGCATTGATACAAAAATTTACAGACGCGCGATGTACACGCGCTCGAAACGAATTTAGGAACACTTTTTTGAACACCCGACGTACTTATTCATTAACGAAGGAAATTGCTGCGCTTACCTTTTTCGAGCGTGTCATGATAACCAGCTGCTTCATTTCGTTGATCTCGTGCTGGATATCGTAAGTGTCGCCGCGATACCATCTCAAGGATTTTTCTGCATTGATCTCGTCGTTCCTCGACAAATAGTAGAGGGGACTTTCTGGTAGCAATTTCGTTGGCATGATCGAGAAGCACGCGATCCCGCAAATTGAGCTGTACCTTCACGTGGAGGAATTGATTTATACAGTTCGCAGGGAAATTCAAGGTGAATTTTACCTTAAGATACGTAGCGTTAAGATTCGAGAATGGAGATTGAGGCGAATGGAAGGTTGTTGTATGAAATCATTTGGAAAAAGCTTCGTCAATTTGAAGGCTCTTACATGACGCTATACAGCTGATGTTTCCATAAATGCACAAGCTCGGGACTGACCTTGTGCGGTTATCGCAGAGTTCGTATATTCTCTGATGTTTGGCGACGAGCTTCGAACGTAGAGAAGGACAAGGAATAAATAAGAAGAGCGAAAGAGGAGCGAAAACACCAGGGTATGTCGGAGAGACAGTTTAATGCGACGGTGAAACGGTGATTTTTTTATTCTTAACTTTTTCGTTGTAAAACTTTTACCATCATGTTCTTGACATTTTTTCTGATTAAAATGAGACCAAACACGACATAATTCGGATGAGATGGAGATGGTTTTTGTGGATTTATCGTAGACAAATTTGTGCATTTATGGAAACATTACTGTAATTCTAAACTTCGAAGGTACAAAGGTATACAGAATTAAACGACAAGGTACCGCGTAATGTTATCAACGCAAACAATAAACCGAGCCGAAATCAAAGTCGACCGGTTTCAGTTTAAACAACAGCGCAGTGCGGTGGCTTTCAGACGGATTAACTGTAACGAAATACATTGGATAGGCTCATGAATAATTGAAGGTGAATCGACGGTATTTGCAAAGCCGCTTCCGTTGAGTTTCAAGACAAAACTCGCCTTTCAACGACATCAATCTCCTCATACAATTCAAATTGCACCGTACCTCCACACGGTCTCGTGTTCGTCGATGGCGTTCGCCGCGACGAAAGCGTACATGATGCCGCAGTTGACGAAAATTTGGAAGAAACCGAGCAGACGGCCACGGATCTTCTTGTCGGCGATTTCGGCCACGTAGGTGGGCGTCGCGACGGCGAAGATGCCACCGCATACCCCGCAGATTGCTCGACCCACCATCAGACAGGTGGTCTGAAAGTTATTGGTGACCTAAAATTCAAGAGAAATTTAAGAGAAATTTAGATAAACTAGAAGTAATAGTACGGTTAAACTTTGACGGACCTAAAATTTGTAAGTTTTTTTCTACATAAGCCTATAGATTTCGGCGATTGGAATCCAAAAATGCTAGTTTTCAGGCGAGGAATCCACTGGTTCAGAAGTTATGAGCAGTTAAAGGTGAACCTTTCTACCGTATTTGTCAGGCAATTCAAAAGTTGAATTCGTAATCTAGAGCACTCCCTCCCGCCCTCCCTCCCCGAGAAAATAGGCCCAAACCAACTCTGTTAATTCGAAATATGGCAGTTTTCAAAAATAGGCATAACAATATAAAAGTAGTACATAACGTAGTCCGCCACCACCGAGAATTTGTTTTACTGACAGGATATGGATACAAGACAATATGGCGTCGAAAGTATCAATCAAATACGGTAAAATGGCACTTTTAACTGCTCATAATTTATGGACTAGTGGATTCCTCGCCTTAAAACTAGCATTTCCGAATTTTTCTTGACAAAATCTACAGGATTATGTAAAAGAACTTAAAGATTTTAGGTCCGCCAAAGTAAAGTGCAGGTTATCGTACTTTTATTCCCGAGAAGCAGATGAGAGTCCATCCGACAGCGAGAAAAGGCATCGTGGCGATCATCATCGTCGTTCTTCTGACACGTCGCGCGAGAAACGGCACCAGGATCGCCCCAAAACCGGCTCCTGCGTTTAGGATGCCACCGATCACTCCAATTTCGGTGGCCGTGGCGTCCATGTGGTTTCTGAGCACCTCGCCAGCGCTGGAATTCCAGCCGAGGGCCACGCCGAGCGCGAAACCGCCGAGAGACGCTGCAATTTCACGAATAAACACGACCGTCGGCCATCTTATTACCGGGACAGGGACTTTTTATCGCTGAATCGCTTGTTTGGAGTTATCTTCAAGCTCTATACAAGGTTACCACTAGTTTTTCTTTTTTTAACACAGAAACGATGCATTAATTTACAGTCGCATCGGTACGGTATTCATTAACGCGTCCAAGTGAAAATATAACAAACAGAGAAATAAAGTGGCGAGAAGCACGCAAACGAAGTATATCAAAATATATATCAACATGAATTTAGACATCATAACGGGACTCTAGAAAATTGAAAATCCGGTACGAATGTTATTACTCTCGGCGACATGAAAATTCACAAGAATCGAAACGCAAGTTTGATTAACGAGCCGCGTTTAATCGACGGGATTTTAATCGACGAGCTCGCGTCGGGACTTAATTTAACGATAAGTTCGCGAAATAAAATCGTGGCACGATCGAGGAAATTTGCTTGTGTTGGTGACAAAATGGAAGAACGGGGGTTAGCTCACCTATGACAGCTCCGATATATTGGTTCAATTTCCGTATCTCGACCATATTGTCGTTGGCCGATGTCGAGGTCATCGTTTGCGCTGAAATTTATGCAAATATTTCCTTCGATAATTTTGGCCCTCCGATGACGAAAAAATGAGCGGACGCGATGGAATCGAATCGCAACTGAACCCGGCCCAATTACGACGCGGGTATTATCGACTTGGGATCTCGTAAAGTCGATCGTAGTCGCCGTTTGTTTGGAAAAACAAAACGGCTTTACGCGTTTTGGTCGGGCATTTTATCAGGCGTACAGTCGGTCGCGAAAGTTTCTCTAAAATGTTCCCGCAACGTTTCGTCGACCTTTAATTAACTTGAATTCAATTGTTAATGATATTCTTTTTCTCCGTCGTAATATTCCAGTAATTGTTTTACGCCGGTTTGATATCCACCTCTTGTTAAACGGAGTTCCACGTGTTTTCGATTAATTATGGAAAATGAATTTTCACAAACAATTTCAGTGCTTCTCGTTGGTTCGTTAATCGTTTCGTCGCACGGAAATAAAACCGATTCAATGTTACGTCGAGCTTTCCGTGATCGCTGGGTTTATTATAAAATTGCGTTACAATTAACCGCCCTTACATGCGCCGGTAAAATTCGTTCTATTTATTTTGAAATTGATCGCGGTCACGTGCGTACAGGACGTTCATTAAAATGTATTTCAACGTCAAATATTCCACCTTGTTACATTTCGCGTTGGGTTTTTACCATTGACCGTGGAAAATGTTACTCGCGATCAACGCCTCGTAATTCTGTTAACACCCTCGGGCGTAAAATTATTAATTAACCCTACAAGTATTGCGCGAATCGTGTTTTCAACTATCGCAGTGAAAACTGCCTGAGACTAATTTCTCGATGAAATAAATGTTATGTTGGCACCGATTTGTAATTTATCGCGATAGTCGTTTATATTAATATTATAAAGAGGTACAATTTATTTGTTTGTTTGTATATAGGGGGAAAATTTCAAGGGGGTTCCCTTGCCGATTTTCGACCAAAAAATTTTTATTTCTAGATTTCGCCCACAATATGGTTTTCAAGGTTTCTGGGGTCGAGAAACACGATTCTGAAGTCAGTTTGCCGATAAAAAAAAACGTTATCACGTGGTTTACTTATAAACAGGAAATAGAAATTTAATAGATTATTTAATATCATTTACCATAAAGAAAATAGAAATTATTTAATACTTTAAGTAATTATATCTAGAGCTGTTGAGAATTCATATAAATGAACACTTTACCGATTGTTAGTCTATTAATAGGCTTTTTGCTAGGACCACCAATACTTTGTTATCCATTATTACACATAACATCTAATGCTTCCATCATTACATGAATTAAAAAAGTATTGTGTAAATATTAATCGAAAAAGTACTCTAATGGATAAAATTGAGATTGAATAATACCAAAGTTGTCAAAATAAAAAATATTATTCAATTCATTTATGTTACACAAGTTGATACAATAGTAACAAATAATCATATTGTACCGATAATAACGTGTGTTCATGATTCTTTCAATAAATAAAAGAATAAAAATTGTTGTCAAAACAAAAAATATAATTGAATTTAATTACATGTCTAATCGTTACCGGTCGGTAAAGTATTAACTAGAAATTATTCCATTCTTTTTAATGCAGTTTTAGTACTCTTCGAAGTCGGTTGTAATTCTTTTTCCAAAAATAATTTTATACAATATAATTTATATCCTCGCTCATCAGACGAAAGTGCTCGATTCCCTGACGTGTCGCCGCTAAAGACTTCGGAGATAAATAATGAAACGATTAACTCAGGTTGCCGAAGAGGAAACACTGTTTCACGGCAATGCACAGCCGCGACTCGTCACATTGCAAACGAGAGGAAATTATCTTACCGAGTTCCACTTGTTTCTTCGTCTGCATGGGAACGTTCACGCAACAGGAAACATCAGCTTGCCGAGTAATTGGATAACCGACTATACCGACGTTTCCATGCACGGGCTATAGTTTACATGCAATTAAGTGAGCCGCGCGACGCTAAATGCAAACCCTTGATTATGCTCTATTTATCAACGCCTGGACTCTTAGCCGGTATCCATCAAATCCTAGAAGCTCTGTCGATTGGTACACTGGCTACGGAAGGATTACGCTGGTCATCATCGGGATAGCCAATTATATCCCTGGAGAACCAGCGTTCTCCATTCAACTCGATACTGATTGCTACAGAGACAGATGGCGATCGCTTTCCTTGGTTACGTTCCGATAATAGGCGGAGCCCTCAGGAGCTGTAGCGGTGTTTTTTGAAGCTACAGTACGGGCTTAGCAACCCCGAGGTACCCGAGCTAGAGAGGCCAGCGGGTCCCTATAGATGAGAAGTAAGAGATACAGTATTAAAACAATGCAGGGGTCATGCAAGATGCAAGAGCGCGTCGAATGAAGAAATATGTAAATGTAAACAAATAGAGAAAGTAGTAGTGAAACAGTTTTGACAATTACAAAAAGCTGATCGCTTTAATAAACGACTAAACTGAACTGATAATAGGCGGCCGTGCCTGTGGAGGGAGAGCGAGAGAGGGGAGAAAACGCGTGTAAATAGAGATGTCTCCGTTACGCGACAGCCAATTGCGCTGACTGTCCAACTCCTGAGCAACGGACAATAGCTTTGCAAGCCCGTGCCTTGTTATATCTCATTATGGAAACATCTGACGAAAAAATGTTTCAAACAAAATTTACTTGTTTTTTCCTGTACAATCTAAATATGTAACGTTCTACAGGGGGTTTTATTTAGAATTATAAAGATACCCCCACTCCTACATAAAGGGGAAGGGAGAGCCACTTCAAATTTACGGAGTTAGAAAAACCCTTTAGATCCATGCAATTTAAGATCAAGAACTTTCAAATCGATGGTATTTAGTAATAGTAGTAGTTTTCGAGATATTGAGCTGTTAAGAGTTATGTAGACCACCCTGTATATGAATGTTAGCCGTACCGAGCACTTGTGAGAAACGCGGTACGCCCGGTGTCCCTCTATTGGCGAGGACAAGAGATGACCACAATAGGAGTCCTGAATTTTTCTCTTCGAGTCTTCGAACCAATAGAGTATCGTTTAAATGTTCCGCCTTCCGACACGGAGCAAACTAATTACGGTTCTTGCTCTTTGACTCGAAATAAGCATCTTAAAACGCGAACTTTGCCGAGCAAGCGAAAAGTTCAGAAGCAGAATTCGTTTTCCCGGGGCAACGTTTCAAGCGTATCCCGTTCCCTTGCGTTTCGCATTTTGCTGAAATCTCTGCGACTCTAGTCAAGAACAGGATTTAATTTGTTAGCTGGGAGCATGCACGGCGCGCGGTTGTTTTCGCTTTGAAGCTTTTAAGCTTCTCCGTTTCGTCTCTCCCCGGCTCCGATCCATCGAATAAAGCCGTGACGACGCGACCAATTTTCGCATCAATGCCACTTCAAGATTCTCGATGCGAGGAGGCAATCTTGAACCGGATGCCGGGCAATCTCTGCTAGCAGCGCGCTGCCATTCAATCACGCGACACCTGCTTCGAAATAACTCAATGAATATTTAAAAATCTTTTATGGATGTTATTTGCTTCCCTCGCGATGGATTATTCAACCCTTTGCGCTCGGCGACAATTTCGTTACGAGGAGCTAACTTTATTTCCCGTTTCTATTTTCGTGAAAGCTAAATCGAGGGGAACAGCTTCGATGTCGGAACCGTTTCAGTAATTTTTATCGCGGAGTATGAATAATGAAACGAGTTGACGACTCCTCGGGCGAAAGGCGAATGGGATCAATAAATTAATATTCACGACAAATTTCCCGAAATTCCAGGTCCCCCCGGGGCAAGTATAATTTACGGTTAACGTATGCGTTTAGGCAGTTTATTGGCGTGCCATGGCGTCTCGGCGTCCCATGATCGTTTGAGCTCGATATATTATCGGTGTGGTTTCGAGTGCGCTTTGACGCAAGCGAAACAATTTTACCTGCTTTGGGGAGCAGGCGTCTTAAGGGAATCAGGAAAATCATCGACAACCGATCGAAGGGACAGAATCGGTTAGCAAATAGATCAAAGGCGACAGATTCGAACGAATTCCTTGGAGGAAAAAATGTTAATCATAAAAGTGTGATGGGGCAGGGATGGGAAGGTACAAAGTTACAGTCAGTCTCACGGGTATTCGTACCTTCTACGTCTGTTGAAGAAATTTGTTTAAATTAAGTACAGGTTTGATGTTTCTAAATAAATGATTCATTATAAGTATGTAGATAAATAGGCTTCACATTTCTGTTAACGTAAACTTGACGAAAGTGACCCCTGCAGTGGGGCCAGCGTGTACAGTATTGCCTCGAAATAAGCAAATTTCCGTGTTAACAATTTTGCATCCGACCGATAACTTTGGAGTTACAGCTTTGTGACAGATGACACACTGTTTAATAAATATAATAAAGAATTTATTTGGAAACATCACTGAACCTAAAAGGTACGAAAACTTATGGGATTGACTGTATATACGAAAGGTGCACAAGTAAGTGATATGTATATATGAATTGTGGTGATATAACGATAACGTATATACGTGTGTTATACGATATTTTGCTACGCTATTAATGACGGATCACGAGCAGATCGACAACCATCGACTATATGGCTGTCCCTGAAACGGGGGAAAACGTAACTGGAACAGTGTAATAAACGGACGTAACGCGGGATGCTCGTTTGGCCGTCTATCCAGTGTGTAGGTTCCCCGACGAGTACGCGGCGATGACAGCTGTCCCTCGCAAACAGCGCCCTTACAGTGGCGAATCGCTTCTCTTGCAACATCAGCGGACGGATGTCCTTTATCAACGTCGATAATACTGAAAAAATCAGTATTATCGAAGAGTTAATTTTTGCGCACTCTGATTATCATTGAAAAGCTCGATAGTGTACATTTTTTGTGCAATCTCACACTGTAGATTTCTCAAAGAAATAGCTTCTTTACAGGCTTAGGTGCTCGCGATGTATTCCGCTTCGCTGTTAGACAAAGCTACAGTTTTCTGTTCTTTTTTTTGTTTCCAAAAAAATTACACAACTAGATAAGATAAAAGAGAATCCAGTGTGTGACGTTCTATCGATAATATTTGCACCCCGATCTGCATCAACAAATCCTTTTAACATCGAGCTCCCATCTGCAGTATATTGTGGTATATTAAATTGTGGACAGTGGAAGCGTGTTGGGCCCGTAATCTAGAATGGAACACGTGTTGTTTGGTGACAAGATATAGACTATACTTTTATTTGCTATTCTGATTACAGTACTGCAGAGTACAGTAATGTCTCGTTAAACGCACAAATTTCTCTACGATAAGTGCACAGAAATCAGCCCCACAACTGGCGGTATACCTTTTGAGGGGTCTAGGAGTTCGATCGCAGTGTTTACATGATCGTATATTCTCTGATACATTTTTTGTGAAATTTCACACTGTAGATTTCTAAAAAAAATAGCTTCTTTGTTAATAATAATTCTTTGTTTCTTCGCTTTACGCTATTCTCAGTTCGTTCGAGTAGACCACCGATTCGATCGCTTCTCCAAACGTCCGTTGCGAAGGCAACTCCACAAAGGAGAGACGTTGCAGAACGAAGGGATATTCATAAAAATTCATTAAATCCTCTGAGGTATAATCTAATAGCGACGCGGTCTGCTCGTTGAACCTTTCGTAGTTGTCACTACTGTTGATCAAAGCCGGTTATTACGCTCACGTAGATTACAAAACGGCGAAGGCTCTTCTATTTTATAACGTCTATTAATCCCCCGTGTCGTCGAAAGCTGGTACAGAATGGAAAATGAATTTTTCATACGACCCACGATGGGACACGTTATCATCGCCCACGCTTCTGATCGATAACATTATTGGTAAGGCTAATAGAGATATGACGCCCATAGCGCGGCCCGCAGTGGTTGAAAAACAGTCATACCCCTGAATTATAAAAGCTACATTTTCACGAACCTATTATTACATTCTGGTAGCCAATTAGCCGCAGTACTTGAGTCTAAGATTGTTTTTTTTTTTTTTATAATTTCGTGTAACAGATGAGAAGGATGCACCTGAACCTTTCGTATTCTAACTAGATTTTGATAGATTTTTAACCAAAGTTTCGCTATGTTGCATGCTAAGAATTTCCAATTTTCATTTGTAATTTTATATTTTTTTGGAGCGATTAAGGGTGCCAATTTTATGGTCGTATTAGATACTTCACTGAACGTGAGAATATATAATGTCCACGTTAGTCGCACGATCAGTCCCAAGCTTGTGCGCTTATCGAGACATTACTGTATTTACACTCACGGCGTAAATGACAGCACTAGGCTCATACTTGTGGGGACTCGTCTTTTTTTAAACTAAAATTTAATCGATTTTGAACACCTCTGTGCAATCAGTATTGAATTTAGAGCGCTGGTTTTCCACTGACATTTTTTCTCATCACAAAACGCACACGAGATATGTATTTACGATTTAAGAACTAGTGGGACACCCTTTATAACAGTCTGTTGGTAAATCCAATGACAACGACAATAACGGCAGTGCCTGTACTTCCATGGACTCCACGTGTGTGTTACACGTATCCACGAATTCTGCACGCATTCCGCTTCCGTGAATATTTGCATACAAAACATGCATTTCCATAAACATTCATAGTCTAATAATCAGGACGAAGGGAATGAGTCTCGCGTGGAATCGAAACGACGACGTCCGATGGAAAGTAAAATCCTCGATTCAAAGCTGTCCTCTGCTCCCAGGCTTCTTCTTCAATTTCCGATCGCGGCGACCTCCTTTTATCCAAGTGCACGAACGCGAACGGACGTTCTTACCCTCTCCGCGCTTGCATATTTACATTCCAAGTGAAAATTTAGGAGGGTAGCTGCATTAAAGTGCGCGAACGTCCGACGCGCGTTAGGAAGCAGCTGCTCTCGCGAAGAAATTTACGTCATCGAGGAAAGCGTCTTCGAAGCGACGGGAAAACTGTGCTCGAGGATTCAAAATAACCGAGAGGGTGGGCGCTGGATAAAATCGAATAAATACGGTTCCACGATGTTTTCGAGACCGGCAGACCTCTACGACTCGAATTATATTTGGCGTCCGAAAAACAATTTAGAACCATCGATAAACGCTCCTTGTAACGTATAAAATCATCTACCGAAAGGATAAGCGTGGATGAACATACCGTATACGCCGTTACGTAATATTTTTATTGATTACGACACGCTGTGTAAAAACTAATCGTGATCAGATGGCTGGAATTCAACTTCGTTCGCGACTGTCGATACCAATGGTGAGAGGAAAAGATTGACGCCATAATTACACGAAGAGGTGCCAATAATTTCCGGTCGCAACAGTGACACGTGCAGAATTAACGTTTTTCCTTCGCGTTTTCTTGCGAGAACGCAATTATCCTGTCAACGGTCCGGGAACCGCGATGTTTTCTGCCTGTAGACGTGACGCGCGATTATGCATAATGGGGAATGAGGATTGTAATTAGTTGTTCGATCCGAGAACTACTTTCGCACGATGACTGCACCATTCTAACGGTTCTCAACCTGTTTCGTCTCCGAATACAGTCAGTCCCACAAGTGCTCGTGCCCTCTATCTTTACTCAAAAAAACTGTATGAATTAAACGATAGGTTTCATGTTTCCAAACAATTGTTGCATTGCGAATAGGTACATGACTAAACTTTATACGTGTATTTGTTTATAATGAATATATTTATTTGGAAACATTAAACGTATCATATAATTTAGGGGCTTGGGAAGTTGAAGAATAAAAAAAAAATCTCCACTTTTTTTTTTTTTTTAAATTAAAATTTAATCGATTCTGAACAGTTCTATGCAATCAGTATTGAATTTGGAGCCCTGGAACCTTAACTACTTCCAACCTCCTCCTAAATTTAATACTGATTGCAACGTGATTTTTTCCACTTTTTGATATTTCAAGCCCCTCAAGATAGATGTCTTCAATAGACATGGGGAGTAAGAATACTCATAGGACAGACTGTGTACATAGTAATCCCTTGACAAATGAGTACAGTTACCTTCCATTGTTCCGTAACCCTACCATCGATAAATTCCTGCTATTTGAAGGCGTTGGACTAAACAATTCCGGCGACTCGTGAAAATCGAGACGCACTCGAGTCTGGCCGTGTAATTTCAGCCGCGCTGACACGTTACGATGTCAACGAGGCCTCGATTACCGCCGTGTCACGGCCGCAGAAGTCTCGCGATGCAAAAAGTTCCACGAATCCCTCAGGCTCGTAAATGTTCATATTTCATTTGTACCGCTTCTCGAATGGCAAACGACAATTTATCGTTTGCGCGTGAAACGTTCGTCTAAATCGTTGGTCTATCGCGCGCGCAAACAAAACAAAAAAAAAAAAAAAATCTGATATGATCGATGATTCAGATACACCGCGGGGTTCGTTTCCGCGAGAACAGGAAAATTCGGTGAAACTCCTGCATTCGAAATACAGTTGCTAAAACAAGGTATCCAGACACGCGCGTATACTTCCGACGTTAACCCTTCCATTCCCATCTAGCGTGCGATCAGAATTCCGTATGGCACGAGCTGCGAAATTGAATTTTGGAATCGGGAGGGAAACGAGACACTTATCAGCGTGCTCGTGAACAATCGCGGCGAATCATTAGACGCGGCGGGAGTGAGCCGCGGGTATGTGTCAACACCGGCGAATGGATCGCGTATCTGCAGACTGCAATTAAGTTTCGCATAATTGCATTCTCGCGCGACGAACGTCGATAGGACGTTCCCCGCCCCCGACGATTTCCACGACTGCTCCGACAACTTTTCTCCCCTTCGATGGCCGACCTCGATCGAAATTTGAACCGAATCTTTATTAGGATACGAACTTTTATCGTGTCGTTAACGTCGCGCGCCGCAACAATTTTGTTTACCACTTCCAGGGCTCTAAATTCAATTCAATTAAATTTAAAAAAAGAAAAAACACAAACACAAACAAGATATTTGATCCCATAATTATGAAAGTGGTCCAATTGAAGAATTAAAAAAAAAATGAGTTCAATTTTATTTCACGCCACATCGGATTAGTTTAATAATTATGGGCGCATTTAAGATTCAAGAGTTAGGCGCGACACCCTGTATATTATCAGCAGAAATGTTCGTCTTATTGATGGAATGTTTTACATTCCTGTGTCTTATCGACGGTATTATTTTACCTCGTCGATCCTTCACCTCTTTTCCTTATTGTTCCGAAAATCCTAACTAAATATACTTATAAATATTCCTACAGCCGCCAAATAATTTTCACGCTTCCTCCGTGGTTATTTTCCGAGTCGGATTCTCGAGGCAGGGAGTTCTCGAATAAAACGCGGGGACAAACGAGCCACGATGTTGCACCCATAACTCAAGCGCTCCTTAAATCGTCGAAATCCGCGGTGTATCCAAGGAACACTGACCACCGAACTGGTACGAGTCCACCGGGTCGATATATCGCCGTGAAACTCGAACGCATCGGTGGTTCGTTTTTGGCACGATGCTGCGGCCGATTGCCAACTTCCAGAATGTTGCACGTTTGTCGCGTTATCGGGCCTCGATAGTTGCACCGCTCGGTGCATAAACGGGGGGAGAGATGAGGCGAACAATGAATACGTCGCTGTCTTCTGATTGACGTTGCCGATATACCTCGACTTCCAGAAAGAAGGTGAACGTTTCGGCATACTTAGTTCTAGTAACCTTCTATAACCACGAATAAGGAGTCAAATATGAACACGAATCCTAGGTAGAATCGGTGCTTAGAGGTAGGTTGGTCGTGTAGGATAAACGGATGAAATAATTTCTAGTTGATTTATATGAGTACTCAACAGGTCTAGATATAATTGCTTGGAAGTATGACAACATGCAGTGAAAAGTATGAAATAATTTCTATTTAAATTGCATTGGTACTTAACAGATTTTGATGAATTTGGTTAAATTATTAAACACAGCTTAGTAAATACAATGCAACCTGTTCGGAGGTGGCGCAAAATCAAAATTTGTTTATATTGAATACTGGTAATGTATACATGTATACTGTCTATGTGAAAATACTGTCTGAGAGGGTTTGATGTATTTGCTTTGGCGAGGAGTAGGGCAATATTGCATCCAGTCAATATACTATTTATACGGAAATACTGTCTGAGTAGATTTGTATATATGTATATTGTCTATGTGAAAATACTGTGTGAGAGGGTTTGATGTATTTGCTTTGGGGCGGAGGAGAGGGCAATATTGCATACAGTTAATGTATATACTATGTAACTTCTTGGCAGCGTGTACACGGTGTCTCGATATATCGAGTGTAACGAAAAAAGTGAAAGTAAGAAAGAGTAAATGAGAACGATCCTGCCATTCATCCGAACGAACACAATGAGGCTTCTGTAAATGCGAGGAGATACAGACTCTGGCTGCCGGAGGCGTGTAATTCACTGCTGGTGCATTATAATGGACGAGTCGCTTTAAAAACTTCTGTGCTCGATCGGCTTGCCGCCATGCGTGAGTATCGGTGTTGCGGTCTCTCGGGAGACCCCGATAGAGCAGCGCATAATGCTCGTCGTAGGGGGATTGAGTGTCCTCACTCGTATAGCATCTATTATGGGAATCTCGATAATCGAACGGTTTTCTGGGAAAAGAGGATCCGAATGTCGCTGAATTCTCGCGTTCCTTCGCACCTGTACGTACCCGTACCCTAGATTCTTCCATAAACTTCTCGTTTGTCCGCTTAAAATAAATTTATTCAAACTTCTTTGCCGCTTCCATCTGTATTCCTTTGCTTCTTCATTTGCGGTTCCTCCTCCTCTCGGTCTGCGCTCCTAAGCCATTGTTTTCTTTCGTTATTCCTGTAATTACTTTCCACCCTTTTTCTTTAGTATCTTTCCTTTCATCCCTCTTTTATTCGCGTGACTGTATTTCCTCGGTGTAATTTATTTAGAGTATCCTCTCCTCGTCTAATTCATCTCCACTTTTCCAGTCGAATTTCTCAACAGGTTCTTATGCTCGCTGTTTCCCCCGCTGGGAAAAAAAATCCTTTGTTGAGGTCTCCATAAATAACATCCCTCTTATTTTCTTCGTCCATTAAGACCCGGTCTCATCTCGTTTCTTGTTTGGTAGAGCATCGCTGGAATCCGACAATGGGAGGAAATTATTGTTATATCGCAAATCTGTTGTCCGTAGTTCTTCAGCAGAATTTTGTTCGACGTGTTACTGGCCATGGCATGTAACAGTTATTTATTCATCGCCTGTGTTCCCTAAACATCCGTGTTCCCGACAGTTCTACATATGTCCTTGTCGTTCTACATTTCCTTTGCCTCTGCCATTGTGTGGGTGGAGGTGGTGCGGGGGATGGGGGCGCCGGTAGTGTTCGTAGAGATCCCGGTGACCCTGCTGCGCCGAGTCCTGGTCATTGTGAACTTTTAGCGGGTATTCCCCTCCTTTCGAGGGGCGTGTCCTACACTACCCCCTCCCTCCGTTTAAAGGGTGTCCGTAAACGTATTTCTTTGCAGAGAAAAAAAAAAGGTTTCTTTTCGATAACACCCTCATTATTTCCTTTTATGTTTTAACGGTAGAACCCCAAGCTCCTTGTGTCTCTCCAGGCAGTCACGCATCTCCATAGTACCTTCATTCCCATTCTAATTCCGTCTTCGTCTTCTTCCACACCTGTTTCCGATATCATTTGCTACCCAATCTGTCTCACCCTCAAATCCCCGTCTTACCCATTTCAGTTCCGTCTTGATCACACCGTTATCTCTCTTTTTTGCTCCCTCAAGGGGTCTGTCTAATTCGAGAATAAACAAATAATCGATCGCTTTCTTTTCATCTATTTCCGAAATTGTATAAACGTTTATTACGAATCCGACGCGGAAGAGAAGAAATTTATTCGTCCAAGTATCGTAATTCGTTACGATGTCGTTTCCTCGATTAATATTATTTCGCGCTTCGGGCCATCGGAAGAAAAATACATCCCTCATCGAAATTCCACTTCCGTTAAGAATATTATTCCACACGACTCGCGTAACATTTATTATTTAACTCCTGGCGCTCGAGTGGCGCCTCTAGAGCGACGTATGTAATTTATACAGCTAATTATTCATTATTAAAATAATAATACATCGAGTCATGAATGTTCGTAGACGTTTCTTTTCGAAGAAGAATTTTTTCTTTTACAGAAATTTATTACAAAAGTGGCCTGGATTTGATTTAATAGAAAAACGCCATGAATGTTCGCAGACGTTCCTTTTCGAAGTAGAATTTTTCCTTTTACAGAAACTTATAATAAAACCGGACTGGATTCGATTCAATAGAAAAACGCCATGAGGGTAAGGGGTTCAGAAATGTGCCCTCCTCCAAATTTTACCCGGTTCTGCCCGCGGCTGGCTCCCCCACCCCGAGCACCCTGCGCCCCTCCACCACCGCTTCGCTCTGTCTCCGTCCACCCCTCTTTCTCCCTCTCCCTCGCGCAGCCACTCTCATTCAAACCGAGTAGACTTGCTCGATTCAGTCGCGGTCGACCCGCCACGCTGCGAGTTTAGTCGATCGAGCGTTCGCGGACGGGCTCGTCACGTTCCATTACTCGAGCTTTCACCCTCGAATATCGTCACACCGCGAATCCACGAAAACGGAAGGACCGAGGAAAACGAAGCACGAGACGCATCGTCGTAACGCCTCGCGATCGGTGATCTTCCCTAGCTCCCATCCACCTGGTGGACCCACTTGCCCAGCGACACTTCCAGGATCCGTCCACGTTGTCCAGGACGCGTGGATCTCGCGGACACCGAATAGAGGAACAGGTGTCGGAGGCGGTGATTCCAGTCGGAGTGTTTCGATAGTGGTGTGAAATGAGGCGGCCAGTGTTGCGGTTGGTCGTCGTCGGTATGCGTCGCGACACCTTGACTCCTAGATCGTGAGCAGTGATATCGTGTCGTTCTCGAGTCAGTGGTTCGTCTAGGAGTGAACGTGTTATAGTGTGTGAAAACTCTGATCCATCTTGAAATCCCTGGACTCGCAAGTAAGTGTCTCGATGACGCAGAATGGAGTATTATTCAGGTGTCCGTTAGGTTACGAAGGTGTCTCGTCGAGGATCGAGGACGCTCAAGTTCAGAAACGGAGCGTTTCGATAAATGCACCAAAGCTCGAGATGCGCTCGAAGGGACGCTGCCTGTCGTTGTTTGTTATAAATATTTATACGCGTATACGAATGCTTATTTAAACCCGCACGACACAGTAGGAAGTTTGTCATCTAATTGCTCCGTTAGGTATTCGGTAATCATATGACGGCAACTGTGTCGAGGATAATTATACCCTGCACGCTGTTTATTACGAGTGTATCATTTAGTCTACATAATTCATTAGAGCCGATGTAGTTAAATCTAGAATTCTCCGAGGCGACCGTTTTAACGAGCTTATAATAATCACGTGCCGCGAATCGTGATCCGGGTAAATCAGGCTTTCGATTTTCTTGTCGAAACGTTTCTTTTTTATAATCAATTTTCTTGCGATAAAACAGAATTAGTAAGACCATGAAGCAAAAGAACTTTCGCACGGTGTCAATGGGGCAAATTTTCTGCGAATCGATCGTTCGAGAGCCTCGGAAATCACAGAGCGAACATCGTTCCCGATCGATTAGGACGATTCAGCGGTTTCGGAGACTCGCTGGACGGACGAGTTGACCGCGCGAGAAACATGATCGAGTTTTGGTGAACGATTCACTTGTTAGGGAGGAATTTGCAAAGGGGATAGGTTTCGCTGGATACGCGATGAATTTGGGCCATTGAATCGGTTTTCCACTGTTCGAAGGACGTTTTTGATCAGCGTTTTGGCCGGCTTTAGAGGCGGTCTTCCACCGGCGACGAATTTCCTGGGAAATACGAGTTTCGAGCCGTTGAATCTGTTTTCGACGGTGGAAGGTCCAATACGTTTCTTCAATTTATTCACTGGCCGGCTTTCGTTATTAAAAATCAAACAAAACTCTATTTATTTGTTTCGCCGTTTCCATTTAATTCTACGCAAAGGTTCCAGAAAAGGCTCGAACAAAAATATCGTATATATATAGTTAAAAGCGATACAAACATTCGACTATTTTTGACAGGCCAGTGATACGATTTTAACTTTTCATTGCGAAGATAAAAGCCAACTTTCTGTTCCATTAAAATCGCAACAGTCGATTCCATCGTTTCTGCGGTTGTTTAATTTCAATGGAGAAAAGTTAATGTTTTTCGACTCTCGTGAGATTCAACTTTTGAACATTGCGGAAACTAATATTCATCGATGATGGACTTTATTATCAAATATATGGGGTGAATGGAAGTTCGACGCGAAGGAAAGAAAATATTTTATATCCAATTAGTATTAGTTGCATTCAATTTAATGAATCGTAACAGTAATGTACTATCTATCGATTTGAATACTAACATTCAACAGAAACATGAAATGGCGAAACGTTGTTTATATTTATGTTCGGGTGTCCGCAGACATCGACGAGCGTCAAGGAACTTCTGTTTATCATCATCCTTTCCGTACCTGAACGTCGAACGCGTTTCACGGAGTTTCTATGCGATCTGTAAACTAAATTACAGTCGAGCTCGTGTTGCCAATATGCTTAAAATTGTAGAATATGTATCTGTAATTTTAGTACATCCGTTTACCAATGCATTACTTCCTTCAACTTTAATTCGAGTGAATTACAACGAATTGCTTGAAATGAAATTCGTTATAGAATAATAAATAATTAACGTACGTCGTAGTTTCGATCATGATCGCACGATAAAGGCGCGAAACTCTTAGAAAATTCTCTGTTATTATACATTATTATTATACATTATCAAAAGCGTCCGTAGTAACACAGATACATTTAACACGCAACAAAGTAATTACTTTTCACTTTTCGAGAATAAGAATAAATTTCTCATAAAGCTAATTCCGGGGATATGGATGAAAAAGAAAATTCGGAAAAAAAATTCTCATTTCCCCTCGTAACGTGTTCGAAGCCTCCCGCAACAATAATAATACATTTTCCATTTAAAAAAATGCAGTCTCATATTCTTTTGTAGCGAAACTTTTGGCCAAACACGAATACATTTCGTATGAAATTGTAGTTTGCAACAGTCAAACTCAAATGGAAGTCTGGCACAGAAATTGTTTCAACGAGGCGCGTATTTGCGAAAGCAACCACAGTCGATTATTTATAAAAATTTGCGCGGAGAACCGAGCCGAGACGTTAAGATTTTCGATAAATGATCATACGAAACTATTAACTCGGTTTGGTCTAAAATTGTGCAGGAATAGCTGACCTCGGTTATCATAAGGAAGCTTATGAATCCGCGAGACGGCGTCGTCGACCTAATCCGGACACGTGCACGATAACGTCGCCGGTAAACGTCAGTATCGTCGCGAACGAGCGTCGAACGAAAACGTCCTGTCGATCGATTTCAATCTAACCGTAGAAAGTTG